ATGAACCTTGGTCTTCTAATGTAAATCTAAATTTGAACAGGGTCTAATTTTTAGATAACATTGACAATATTATGATTGTAAATTATGTATGTGAAGGTAAATAAAATTATTTGTCAAGGAAAGATTCAGTCAGTAAAATAACAGTCATTTAGCTGTACTGCTCATAAGGGGATTCGATGAATCTTGGACTTCTGATGCAAATCTGAGTTTGCACAAGGTCTAATATATTTTAGATTACGTTAACAATATTATGATTGTAAATTATATATGTAAGTAAAACTATTTGTCAAAGAAAAATAATTTAATCTAAAAAATGACTTACCGACGAGTGCTAGAATCACCGTGAGCAAAGATGCTGCCGGAAATGTTACCGTTAAGTTGAACTCCAACATTTGAAGCAGATCCACTGAAACAAACGAAAAAGAAGTATATTTCACATGAAAAGTGACATTTAACCTTGAAAATTTGCAACCTTGCTATAAAACAATTGCACTGAAAAATTTTAAAGACTGAAGACATTTTGAAGATTAAATATTTTCACTGTAAAAATGACGATACTACAAATGCGATGTTCTGTGGAGTTATTTTAATTAACATCGAGCTTAAATTATATTTCTCCTCTAAATCATAAAATCGTTCAAATTTCATTGGGAATAATAGTAGTAGAAATGAAAGCGTTAATCGATACACGAAACAGTACTACAAATGCAGAAGATATTGTATCGAAATCGTTATGCTCGACGACGGTTCGAATTTAATATTTATTAGATGCTGCGTGACGAAAAGTTTCTCAGCGAAAGGTTATTAAACAAGTTGAGGGTCATGAAGAAATCGTGTCGTGTTCGACGAGTCGGTTCAAAGCTCAATAAGAATTAATTTCAAAACTTTCTCGATCTCGATTTAAGTTCTAGAGAAGTTTCGATCGCTGCCGCCTCGGTGGGGACAGGATTTCGCTTTTATTTCTATACTCGATCCATGTACAATCTTTCATTAATTTATTTTCCAGACTCTCCGACTAATTTCGGATTGTCGCGCTTTACATATTTTACCAACTGAAATTTTATTGGAAAGAAATTTTTTCTTTCTTATTTTTTACTGATGCATTTGCAGGGGTTTTTATGAAATAACCTTCGTCTCAATTACATTTGTAATTGTATATTACATATAGAAAATATATTAAATATATCAGCATGTAAAATTTTTGTAAAAATATTAGTAAAATATATTTGTAAAATTTTTGTATAAAAATATTTAAAATATCTAAATTTTCAAAATGTGCAAGCATGTAACAGTTAATTTTCGTGTCCTCCCCTATTTTATTCTTCAAAATTAATTAGCGTATGTGGAGGTCCAAGGATGACGCGTAAAAATATTTTCGAAGGTATTAAAAATGATATCTCTGGGTCAGTAAAGAAATTACACGTCAAGTGCTCAATTATTCAGGGATAACTAATAAACTTTCATAAAGGCGCTTTCTTCTATAACTAAGTTGAAGCACGGCAATGTAATTAAGAAGTTGAGCAATTCCCAAATGACGACGCATGTCGGGTCTTCTTTATAACAGCTCAAGGATCGCCGTTTGCAAATTTCCGTCACAACCTTGGTGTTTCGATTTAATGAATTTTAGATTTCAAAATATCACCCACTAAAACCGCTCCCGCTGCTCGTTAAAACTCTTAGACTCCTCCGTCTTGCCCTATATAATCTAAAGTTCGCCAACCGGCAAGCGTGTCATGAAATTATTTTTTCATGCCGGTGTACCGATGTCAACCCACGAGTTGTCGCTCTTGGAAGAACTCTATTGGTCAGAATAGAAAAACTCGCATGTATTTTCGGAACAATTCGCAGTCGAGCACAATTAGGCGAAAAACAATGACAGTCGACAAACTCTCGAGTGAGATAGCGCGAATTGCCTGAAGCAGTTGTTGTCATTATTATTCTTATGCGCCGATATGTGACGGAAGTGTTCACGGTGGATAGAGCTTCTTTTACTTTGGGTCACGCGCCAACTCGTGGGACGTACGTACGTAAATTATTGCAGCCAAATTGAAAATTCACGCGGGACAAAAATATGAGAAAAATTTGCAATATTTGAACTGTGGTGCGTCACGAGTGCGTCGTGGCTGACGCGCCAACTCGTGGGACGTCTGTAAATTATTGGGTTCAAATTGAAAATTTGCGCGTGACAAAAATATGAGAAAAATTTATAATACTTGAACTGCGAGTGCGTCACAAGTGCGTCATGAGTGCGTCACGAGTGCATCACATTTTCAAATTTCCAGAACCCCAAATTCTCAAGTCCCTAGTTCTTAATTTTTACAATTCTCAAATTTCTAAATTTCTACATTTCCAAATTTTCAAAACCCCAAATACTCAAGTCCCCAATTTTCAATTTTCTGAATTTTCAAATTTCGAAATCTTTACATTTCCAAATTTCCAAGCCCCCAAATACTCAAATCCCCAAACCCCAAATTTCTCTAATCCTCAAATTTCTAAATTTCTACATTTTTGAATTTCCAAAACCCCAAATTCCCAAACCCCAAATTTCCCTAATTCTCAAAATTCTAAATTTCTACATTTCCAAATTTCCATCACCCCAAATTTCCAAATCCCCAATTCCCAATTTCCCCAATTCTCAAATTTCTAAATTTCCCTATCTCCAAACCTCCATCACCCTAAATTCTCAAATCCCCAATTCCCAATTTCCCAAAATCTCAAATCTCCCAAACTTCTACATTCAAAAATTTCTAAACCCCCCAACATCTCAATTTTCAGATTCCCAAATCCCAAATTTACATTTGAACCGCGAGTGCGTCACGAGTGCGTCATAGCAGACGCGCCAACTCGCGGGACATCCGTACGTAAATTATTCCACCCGAATTGAAAATTCTCGCGTATCAAAAATGTGAGAAAAATTGACGATACTTGAACTGCAAGTGCGTCACGAGTGCGTCACGAGTACACCTAAATGGAAAATTCACGCGTGCCAAAAATATGAGAAAAATGTACAATACTTGAACTGCGAGTGCGTCACAAGTGTGTCATGAGTGCGTCACGAGTGCGTCATAGCTGACGCGCCAACTCGTGAGACATCCCTAAATTATTACACCCAAATTGAAAATTCACGCGTACCAAAAATCCAAGAAAAATGTACAATACTTGAGTGCGTCACGAGTGCGTCATAGCTCACGCGCCAACTCAGGCTTTGACATCAGTACCCGTTGCCTTTCCCTTTTTCAAGTACAACTTTGAACACGGATATCGGTCTTGTATTATTATCACTGATGTACGACACTCTTAAAGAGCACTAAAGATAGAAACTACCGATCGGCGATAATTTTCTAGATACTATTGACTCACTGATTACATCAAACCGGTTAGAAACGTTTAGAAGAAAAATAGGTTCATTGAACTTCTTTGTGTAGTTCTGTCACGTATTACTCTACAACGCATTCTATCCTTATTTTTTCATTTTTACATCTGACACACTTTTGCAAATTTAAAATTCATCGACAAATATAAAATGCTCGAGTAACAGAAGAATTGAAACCCGAGAATGCTTGTCACAACACAAAAGTTATAAAAAATAACAAGGTCTCCGCATATTAATTCTAACCTTCGCTTCTCATTATATCATTTTCCTGCAAAGCTGTAATAAAAAAAGCATTGTAATAAGGAAAATTAAATGTTGTAGATCGACAATGGTGTGAAAAAAGAGAGGAATTAGCTGCAAAAACATTTCCAAGGTAAATAAAATAACGTGACGCGGAAGGGAAAAATGGTGGCACGATAGAAACACGATTAAACCTTGCATGAACAAACAAATCTAACGTTCTGTGCGATTAGATAAACTGGTTCGTCTGCACTTGATTCGAGGTTAACGCTATTATGGTAATGAATTACTCACTGCAACATAAATATCAACCCCGAATCTGTGCTAGACATTTTTATCAGAAGGAAACTTTTTATTTTTATACGCTTTCACATACAATTTTGTTCGGGAGATAATTTAGATATCGAGGTTTCTGCGGTATTTTTATTAAAATATATTTTATATGTACAATATTTAGAGTTTAAATAAAGAGAAGTTTAATTCTATGACAGTGATGTGACAGGCAAAGGTTCTTAAAAATTGTATAAAAATACAAACAGTAATATAAATCTGTTATAAATTATTTCGAAACAAATTGTCCAAAACATTACAGAAGTAAAAAATTGATCAGATGTTGCTGTTTCTGAAAAAAGAAACTTCAGCGAAGTCACTAACCTGCCCAACGACACGTGTACCACAGAAAATCAAATAATCCAGTTTCGCAGTGCAAAAATAGTACAATTCATAATGCAGATAGCAATGTTATATAATTAATTATCATCACGTTAAGATAGTTGTTCCAAGATTAGCTCCGAGCTAAAATAAAAACAGCATCGTCCGATTAATGGAATCACGAACTCGTTACACACTTCCAACACCAACAAAGAGCACAATTAAAGATACAAACAAAGTCGAAGTACAATATTTCCATAAGAAATCAAGGATAACAAACCTATTCTAAGAAACCTCGTAGAAAATGATCATAATTCACCTAATAAATAATTTGACACACAAAGCACACTGTTCAAACACATAAGCGTATCTTATTTAAAAAAAAAATGACAGAACCAGAAAAAAATTTCAAACAGAACTCCTACTCTCCAGACCTATCCAAAACCCGCCATCAGGCGTTATCGAGAAGTTCTTCTTGCTAAACTCGATCTGTACCTTAGTCTTTTCGGTGCACTTCAAGTAGAACCGATGCAAAAGATGAGCGATCAAGATCTTGGTCTCCATCAACGCGAAGCGACTGCCGATACACTTCCTGGGTCCCAGCCCGAAGGGCAGATACGTGTAAGGGTCGATCTTATCTTTATTCTCCTCACTGAAACGCTCAGGGTCGAACTTGTCCGGGTCTGGAAAGTATTTAGGGTCGTGATGCAGCGCGTAAACGGGGAACAGAACAACATTGTCCGGATATATCGTGACGCTATCGTATCCAGGTCCAGCCGGAGGTAGCTGAAACTTCCGTGCGCAGAGTCTATCGATGTGGACGAGCGGCGGATACTTCCTGAGTGCCTCCGCAGTCACCATCTCCATGTACTTCATCCTGGACAGCGCGTCGTACGATATATCGCCGTCCCCCTCGCGGATGTAACGATCCACCTCGTCGCGCAGCTTCTCCTGAATGTCCGGATTAACGGCCAGCTCGTGAACCATGTAGCACATCAGCTTGGAGGAGGTATCGAAACCGGCCAAGAAGAAGATGAACGCCTGAGCGGTGATATCATCGATGGTCATCTGACGCGACACGGGCTTCTCTTTATCCCTGGCCTCCATCAGAAGATGAATCATGTCGGGCCGGACGATATTCTGCTCGTCCCGCGCCTTCACAGTCTCGAAGACGACTTTCTTGAAGAAGCTGGCGGTGTCTCGCGACAGGAACGAGAACCCGGCCATCCTTGTTAAACGAGGGTTCATACGGAAGAGCAGGAACTTGATCAGACGGAAGAGGCCAGCGAAGTTCGTGGCGTCGGCTCCTTTCTTGTAGAACTCGTTCTCGCGGTCCATCAGCGAGTTCACGCTGATGCCGAAAGCCACCGTGGCGATGGTGTCGTTCGTGTACCTGGTGAACGCGTCCTTCACCTCTATGGAGGCGGAGAACTCCGGATGGTTGTATAAATAGTTGACGAACTCCTGGGCGCACTTGGACACCAACTCGAAGAGGAAGCGCATCTTGCTGGCGGTGAAAGATGGGCTCAAAGTGCTCCTCATCTCCTTCCAGCGCTCCCCCCGCAGGGAGAACACGTTCTTCCCGAAAATCGGGTCGATCTTTTCGTTGATGAAGCTCTGGTGATCGGGGAAGTACTCGAAATTCTTGATGGCGATCTCCCGGATCAGCTCCGGGTCGCGGATCACCACCGCCGGCGTCGAGAAATCCATCACGCACACGTACCGTAGGTCGGGGTAATAATTGTAGATGAATTTGCAACAGTCTGGAAAGGAAATGCGGCGGAGAAAAAGCTTCCAGGAGGAGCCGAACACCGGCATCCCTTTGATGTAGGGAACGTGCTTCTTTTTCCAGTAGGTGTGCTGAATGTACACGATCGAGATGAGCTTGGCGAAACCCACGATGGAAAAAGCGATCACCAACAGCTTCAGTGAAAAAGAAAACGACGCGGACTCCATTGCCACGGAGGATGGATTACGAACGACTCTATCTGGTAAGTAGGAGGAATGTTATAAGTATGGACGAATACATGGACGGTTTTATCGTTGCACGAGCGACAGAGAAGGAGGGAGTAGAAGGCCCGTTACGTAAATCGCTTGAATAAACTGCGCTGCTCCTCGCCAATGTTCCTTGCAAATAAATTGCAATCAAATCGCTATCTCGATGTGCAATTAATGAAATTTTATTACTTTCCTTCAATTTTATTTCGTTATATGAGATCTTTGTTTAGATTATATTTTAATTTAAGTTTCTTAGTAATTAAAAAATGGAAGTCGTGGAATGGATTGGGTTTTAAATTAAAAGAAGAGTCACAAAATACAATTTAATTACCGTAACGGCAGTACAGAATTTGAGATTCTAATTAGATAAGTCGCAATCGGTAATCAGAAGTTACTACATAATCTTATCCTAGTGAACTCTTCGAAATCCAAAGAGAATTTATACAAAAATATAAAAAACTTAAACATCCCTTTTCTCCCAAGTAAACAACAATTTCTCCTCCGGAACTAACGCAAAAGTGCCCTTAGCATAAACGATGTTCGACACCGTCTTCTCGTTCCGTTTAACCACAAACTTCCGCAAGAAATAAAACATCAAAATCTTGATTTCCATCAACACGAATCTATTACCGATACACTGTCGAGGTCCGACTCCAAAGGGGATGTACGAGTAAGGAACGATCTTGTCCTTGTTCTTGTCGCTGAATCTTTCAGTATCGAATTTTTCGGGATCCGGAAAGAATCTGGGATCGTGAAGCATCGAGTAAATGGGGAACCACACGTTGGCACCTGGGTCCAGAGTGACGCTGGCGCATCCAGGCGCAGGGGGTGGTAATTCGTAGGTCTTCGTACAAACTCGGTCGACGTACACCGAATTGTTGTACTTCCTGTTCGCCTCGGAGATCACCATGTCCATGTACTCCATTTTCATGAGGGCTTCGTAGGTAATTTCCCCGTTCGACTCCTCGTAATAGCGATCCACTTCGTTATGCAACTTCTCCTGGATCTCCGGGTGCATCGCCAGCGCGTAAACCATGTGGGCCATCAGGTTAGAGGGCGCGTCGAAGCCGGCGAGGAAGAAGATGAAGGCCTGAGAGACGATGTCGTCGACGGTCATCGGCGTCGTTAGGTCCTCTTTGTTCTTAGCCTGCATCAGAAGGTGTAACATGTCGGGTCTGACTATTCCCTGCTCGATGCGAGCCTTCACCGTTTCCGAGACGAGTGTATGGAAGAAGTTTACGGTCTCGGAATCGATGAGTCTCACTCCGATTATTTTCGAGAAGCGTGGAAACACGTAGGTCAGCAGCAGTTTGTACAGGTGCCCGAAGATTTTGGTCATGATGGTGTTCCCTCGCATGAAGAACTCGTTCTCGGGGTCCTTCATCGAGTCCACGCTCACTCCAAAAGCGACGGACGATATGACGTCAGTGGCGTATCTGCTGAAGGCGTCTTTGGCGTCCACCATCTTCGTGTACTCGGGATTGTCGATCAGATAATCGACGAACGTCCGAGCGCATTTCGACACCAGACCGAACATGAATTTCATTTTGGCGGAGGTGAAAGACGGAGTGAGGATGTTTCTCATCTCCTTCCAGCGCTCGCCGCCGAGTATCGCCACGTTTTTCGCGAATATAGGGTCCACCTCTTCTCTGATGAACTGCAGGCGGTCGGTGAAGTGATCGAAATGTTTCACGGCTATGTCTCGGATCAGTTCGGGATCACGGATCAGCACGGATGGCGTCATGAGGTTCATGAATCCCACGTACCTGGCGTCCGGATGAAGATTATACAACAACTGGCTGTGGTCGACGATATTTAATCGACGAAACGTGTGCAGGTACATGGAACCGAGCGGCGGTACGGATTTCAAGTAAGGCACACCTTTCTTTTTCCAGTACGTCTGCTCCCAGTATATCGCCGCGATACATTTAACGAAGATTATGGCGATCAGCGTGATCGCCAGTATCGAGAACGCTGACCAAGACAGGAGAATCTCCATGATAGTCACGCACGCGAATGTAGCTGTCAATCCGCAGCTACAACCTTATAAATGCGAACGAACGCGTGTGCAAGGTTTATCGGCGCGAGAGAGAGAGAGGAGAGCGAGACACGCGATGTGACGGAATCGTAACTACGTCGTTTGAATTGAGACTAGTCATTCAGCAGCTGCAGAAGGAGATATAAGATGTAGCACACTTTCGTCATCGTGGATTGACCACCTTTGGGCGGCGATTATGTTGATCAAGTGGGTATCGACGTGGGAATGTGACAGGGTGTCATGTAATTTACTTTATTGCTCGATTTAAAACTAGTTAACAATTTTATAATAATCATGTTTCGTGAAAGGAATGCATACAGAATACAAAAATAAAACATCAAAGCATCTAACTAAAAATTTCCTCTCAATTCTATTCGAATCCAAAACCCCATTATTTATTTTTCCTAACAATACAAAAGCCTAAGCTCTCTTCTCCAAACTAATCCAGAACCCGTCTTTCGGAATCAACGAGAAGCTAGCGTTCTTGAACACCATCGGAATCATCGTCTTTTCATTAGGTTTTATCACAAACTTCCTCAACAAATGAACTATCAAAATTTTCGTCTCCATCAACGCGAACCGATTACCAATACACTGTCGAGGTCCCATACCAAAAGGAATATACACATAAGGATTAACGCTGTTTTTGTTCTCGTCGTTGAACCGCTCCGGATCGAACTTCTCGGGATCAGGAAAATATTGGGGGTCCATATGCAGTCCATAAACCGGGATCATCACGTTGTTATCTGGCTGTACAGTCACGCTGTTGTAGCCCTCCGCAGCTGGAGGCAGATCGAACTCCTTCTCGCAGATTCTGTCGATCATGAACACAGGAGGATAACGTCTGAGCGTCTCGGAGATCACCATGTCCATGTACTTCATCTTCAGCAGGGACTCGTACGAAATCTCTCCGTCCTCCAAATGACTCTCCACCTCCTCTCGCAGCCTCTCCTGAACCTCCGGATGCAGCGCCAGCTCGTAGATCGCGAAACACATGAGTACAGACACCGTTTCGAAACCCGCCAAAAAGAAGATGAAAGCCTGCGCGACGATGTCGTCGTCCGTTATCTCGCGTTTACCTTCGTCCCTAGCCTGCATCAGAAGGTGGATCATGTCCGGTCTGACGATACCCCGCTCGTCGCGCGCTTTGATCGTCTCAGTGATGGTTTTACAGAAAAACGTGGTCGTCGAGCGAGACAGGAACTTGAATCCCACCATTCTCATCGCGCGCGGGAACAGGTGGAAGGCCACGAACTTCAACATACGCCACACGCCGCTGAACTGGGTCGCGTCGGCTCCCCTCAGGTAGAACTCGTTGTCACGGTGCTTCAGGGAGTTCACGTCTATCCCGAAGGCCACGGTCGCTATCACGTCGTTGGTGTACCTGGTGAACGCGTCTTTAGCCTCCAAGCAGGAGGCTAACTCCGGATGATCGTAGAGATAATCGACGAATCCCTCGCAGCACTTGGACACCAAACCGAACATGAACTTCATCTTGCTGGCGGTGAAGGATGGACTCAGGGTGTTCCTCATCTCCCTCCAGCGGTCGCCTCTGAGGGAGAACACGTTCTTCCCGAAAATGGGGTCCATCTCCTCGGTGAGGAAGCTTCGATGATCAGGGAAGTGGTCGAAAGACTTCACGGTCACCTGCTTGATCAGCTCCGGATCGCGCAGGATTATGGTGGGTCGGCCGGAGTCCATCATGCCGATGTACCTCACTTTTTGGTTGTCGTTGTACAGAAACTGACTGTACTTGTGAAATCCAGCGAAACCCAGTAGAACTTTCCAGGCTTTAACCAGCACCATTGTCGACTTTACGTATGGTGCCCCATTCCTCTTCCAGTAGGTGGACTCTCGGTAGAAGGATGAGAACAATTTTGCGAGGAACAGGGCGATCAAAATGATCACCAACATCCAGAACGCGCTCAGTTCGAAAACCATTGTTGGATACGATTTTTAAAACAAATGTAACGATCGCTAAATATGAACGACCGTTTGCGAACACTGGTATATACGAAAACAAAAGGAGAGAGACCTTATATATCTGCAGGAGCTTCTGGATAAGGGGCTTAATCTTAGATGTTCGGATAACGGGCATTTTTCAAGATGTACTTCGATAGATAAAGCGCCTTTGTAAAACGGTATCGACTTTAATTTTCAATTTGTGGAAGCGACAAAAATGAATTAATTCCGTCAGACGGTTATCTGATAAAAAAGGTTGTTCACCCCTTCGTATCGGAGATCGACCGATGCCGGACGATTGATTGGTCAAGCGGCGCAAAATATTTTTGCGAATTTATCAGTGGAATAATTTTAGACGTAGAAAACTTCGACTTTGGAATTCACTTGAATTTGCTTTTACAAAATTCTTTGACAATTTTAAATAGTATTATATTTTTCGAACATCTTTATTTTCCTATGATTGAATATTTTATTATGAATGATAAATTACGAAACTGCGAAATCAGTTTACCTCGTGAAGATTTTAAAAGCAATTCGTTGAATTTTAATAAATTATAAAAAATTGTACAGAAAGTAGGGAATTAGCAGAATTAAAAACATGATAATATTTTCAATCTTTTTCTCGTTCTGCAATTTATTATTCAGTCTGGGTTATTAATAACCGTATGATATTCGCCGTTGGAACGCGAAATTTCATCAAAAATCAAATTAAACGCGGAAGCATTATTAAAAGAGACATGTATAAAATGTCTACATATTCATGATATCAGCTACGATTAAATAATTTTAATACGATTATTGCAGTTACTTACCAATAAAAACGAAGATCTGGTGATGCGAGTATCGCAGCAGCATCGAAATGGAGATCGTCTGAAAAATAAATTTCTCCGTTAAACTATTACGATTAAATTTTCTAACCCGACATAATCGGGCATATTACCCGGACATAATCGAAGAAAAATAACGTTATCGTTACGATAAAATAAAGCGATATCAGGAAGAAAATCGCGCAGTAATTTACTTGTACGAAACAAATAATCCAAATGAAGATCCGTTCAGCTCGAAGATAATTTTCACGGATCCTACACGTCGCGTCAATTAATGCAACAAAACAGGCTAAAGGTGTTTATTATTGAATAAAAGAAAATTGCAACGAAGACGCGAGATAAATCGCAAGCCGATCGCACTCGGTTACCGGGTTGAGAGCGAACGGTGCAATTCAATTGCGAACGGTTCAGATTGAGCTAGCACCTGGCACCCGCCGGATAATTCACTATTTGCAATGGGAAACCTTGGTAACGGAAGCGTTTAATGGTACTTTGCAGACGCGTCGATGTTATTTACGAGGAAAACCGGTTCAAGAAGAAAATCAAAATGAATATTTTACTTGTGTTAATAGCATTAACATTCTGTTCATATTCCTTGAAAACTCGGATTTGCAATTTGAACAAAATTTGCAGTTTTCTGGATGTACCATCACATACAATATTTACAAATTTTACATACATTGTTGTTAATTGTTGTAATGTTCACATGTTACATACATATGTTATATACACATGTTACATACACATGTTACATACACATGTTACATATACATGTTACATACACATGTTACATACTCATGTTACATATACATGTTACATACACATGTCACATACACATGTTATATACACATATCACATATACATGTTATATACACATATCACATATACATGTTACATATACATGTTACATACTCATGTTATATACACATGTTACATACACATGTTACATACACATGTTACATACACATGTTACATACACATGTTACATACACATGTTACATACACATGCCACATACACATGTTACATACACATGTTACATACACATGTTACATACACAAGGTCTGCATCAAAAGACCTGATCAATTTTTATATTCTTCTAAGGATATTCTTATATCTACTATTGTGTCAGAAAATTTAGGAACAATTGGAAGATGTATGAAAAGCAAGATGGTAAAATTAAAAGCAATCGTGTAGCGAATGTACATGACAGACGGAATAATATAGGGTAATACGTAGATGACGACAGTCTCGGAGTACACGTGACTCCAGAACGGTAGATTGACCGAGGGTGATTCCAGGTAGAGCACCCCCAAGCACTGAAGCAACATTCACGTGTTGTGCCACGAGATTCACCCATCTCTTGTCTCAACGTTTCCAATATACTACATGAAATATTACATCATAACTCCCAAGAACTCTGGCTGAAATGTTCAGCATTGGAACATGTTCAAAATTTAATGGAGCTGTGAACTCATTCTGGGAATGGTTAAACAGTAGAAGAAAATACTTAAAAATGTGGAAACTTGTGAAGTTCAAAATTTGGTCTTAGTTGAGATTTGAGGATTTAACTCACTATTTAAGAATTTGAAAATTTAGGTATCTGAAGATATATGAATTTGGAAATTTAAGTAGCTCACTATTTAAGAATTTGGAGATGTAGCTATTTGAAAATATATGAATTTGGAAATTTAAGTAGCTCACTATTTAAGAATTTGAAGATGTAGGTATCTGAAGATATATGAATTTGAAAATTAAAAATTAGTATTACACCATCATGATTTTCCCACATTCTACAGAATCCTATTAACAGAGAGTCTGCTAAAAATGTTACCATCCATATATGAACATTTATGCTAATAAAATTATTCATGCATAGAATAATTGGCTTTTCACTATACATCCATCCTGAATGCCTAGATATGAATTAGATGTAGACTGATGCACAATGAATTGCATTTGAATCATTGTTAGTAGTATGCAATATTACTCATTTGTTCGGTCGACGTAAACCTATTAAACACGAGTGAAGCTATTCGTTGGACCGTACATGATCCAATCACTTCCTAACGCCAGGGAATACCCCGAAATTTCGCAATCCGCCTGGCGTAATATTTGTTGCCAGGTAATGCAGGGATAAAAATCCCATATTTAAAAGTTATAAAAATTTGCAAAATGACTAATGGAAATAATTGAAGAATCAACACATTTTGAATCATTATAATGAGTCGTTACGCGGTAAGATATTTGGGAACAATTTAATACAAAATTACCGACTTGGGACCTTCACAACGAATATGATGCCTCTAATAACGTTGATTTATACTCAACGGTTCAACTTCAAGGGGATCGCCACGTATAAGGGTGTACGGGGTTGGAGGGTTATACACGGGTTATCTCAGTGCGTGATTACTTTGAATTGATTGCCATATCCTTTTACACGTACTAGGTTGTCGCGTGGATATGTGTGATATCATCCCCTTGACGGAGAGGAATATATTCGGATCGAAAACACGTAGCGCGTGAAACTGAATCTAATTTGCACCTTCAGAATATTCTAGATTCATGCCACATCTAACATTTGCGATACTATTGCGCATACCGTGACGTAAAAGTAAATTTAATGCAAGGTTTAAGAAACGAACATTCGGATTATGTATTTACCCATTCAAATTTATGGATTTTTAGCTATCAGATTCATGTATATAATTTAAAAGTACTTACAAAAACTAACATGATGAAGAATGCAGCGAGGTACGAAGTTCTGGCCATCCACATGCTTACAAAACGATAGTGTTCTCCCGTAACCACATTTCTATAACAAATAATATCACCATCAATTTGACTATAAATAAACAAAATTTGACTATAAATTAAAACTGAATCAATAAATTCGCTTACCGTAAAAATCCTTTATTGTCCTCGTGCTCTGCTAACGTCTTAATACTCGCCATTAATAAATCATCATATCCCAAAAATTCATCTAGTATTATTCTTGAGAAAGCATCACCAAAACATTTGTCATTAGCAGGATCCAAAGTAACAATCTTCACGGGAATGTTCAATCTTTGCCGTGCTACGGGTGATAATCTCAAGAAACCGTACTCTAATGAATATTCAACGATATAACCATCGTCTGAAAGAGAGAGATTCATTTATGAAATAATATAATAATTATTATTATACTCAGTATCGATAACAAAACTTATATTACCTGTTCTCACTTCAAAATTCTGATCCTTCAAAGGTTGAATAACATCTTCTTTGTTTAGATTATTTGTATCTTGTTCTAAAGTATTATTGTGCCCACCTGTTAAAGATACTACCTTCTCATCTAATACCTGGAACATTAATTTTAAACGTAATTAAAAAGATAGAATACTGTGTATCATTCATTTAATATTTACCTCTTTATTATCTACATTCATTTCGTTCCAAAGTTTTGTTGACAACCAAGGAGTTATTGTGTTATTTATATTTAAATTTGAATCTTGCGTTTCACCAGAAACAGTAGCACTTCTGAGAATTACTTCTTTTTCAGCTAATGTTAAACTTTCATTATTTTCTTCATTAGATATATTAACAGTATCACGTTCTTCGTCAACAGCGGATGGTTCAATGTTAATAAACCTGTAAATAAAATAAAAAATTGATTAACACAGGTTAATAAAAATTAGGATGTATTTTTAAAATCCAATATGATATATGTATGCTTACCCATCTTTAGTTAATATCCCCAAAGCATTAGTTAAATCATCAACTTTTTCTTGTCGTAATTTTTCTTCCTTAGCATAACTTTTTTCAATGCTGTAATCGTCACCTCCATTCCTAAGTATTTCAACTCTTAATATACCGTCCCGAGGCCAATCATCTCTTATATGCTCCAAACAATTAGTTGGAGCTCGTGAAAATACTATATGAATATAAGCCAATACAAAAAATGCTGCTATGGCCTAAAATTATAAATTACACAATGTATATTATATAAAACTAATAAATTTCTGATAATTTTGGAATAATAATTACCTTCAACAATGCCATAAATTCTAAAAATCTTCTGACAGGCCTTGGAAATGTCCTTGCATATATTAATGCAGCCTTAATAAATATCGCATGAAATAATCTATCCCGAACATTAACTAACGGGTTTTGATTATTATTGTTCCTAGCAGTATTCATATTGTTGTTACTTAAAGCTGGACGAGATGAACTATTTGAATTATGATTATGTACAGTTTCACTAGTTTGATTATTGGTAGTTGGTATATTAGCACCATCCACTTGTGGCATTTTAAACACTATATAATATTTGTTTTTGACAATTGATGAGTTTACTAATAATCTTTACTCATACAATTTCCTTGTATGAAATTTTTTAAGAAGTACTTATACATGTTGTATATGTACATTTCCATTCCTCAGTAATCATTCAAATATCTGAAACATAAAGTGATAATTATATAATACGTGTTAATTAGATATTATTGTACATTCATGTCTACTATATTATAAGATCTTAATATACTTTCACAATTATTATGCGCATGCGAGTTAAAATTCTATGTTCGCTAACAGAATCATTTTAAATAATAAAGAATTATATTTATTATTTACTATAGTTTACAACTGTTGCATGTTCAATTTATTCACATTAATTTAAATGTGACTAATATGGTTCACAACATAACAGAAGCATTATACACAACCTAACCTATTTACAAATATTCTTACGTGTAAGTAATCATAACTTCGACAGTTGGAAATATATCTAGCTCGTAAAAACGATTATAACTTTATTTAAAAAAGGACAATTATTGGATACAATTTACAAAATAAAATCTACATAATAACATACTTTGTTACGTAATTATGAAATGCAGAAAAGAATAATTACCTACTGCGAAATAAGGATAAATAATATTACTATTATTTTATATTATCTTCATATATATATTTTTCGCTATACTGATAATTATTACCCGGACATGACATTTCACAGGTGACACGCGAACCATTAGTAAATTTTTAAGAAATTAACCATATCGTACCTCATTCAAAAGAAGAATATTATATTATACTGATATACTTCTGATGTTTTGGTATTTTCTTGGATGCTACTATACGTATTAATAGCCTCATAAAAATGCAAATTCGAAACATTTACGAATTCAATTCTTATCAAATTGTCACTTCATCATCGTATGTTTTGATATTCGACAACTCGCATATGCTAGTCTCTACTGCAATGTAGCCAATATTATAATGTGAATATCTAGGAAATTCATTTATGCGAAAACTTTCTACTTTCTAGTAATAAAGCTAGATCTCCTATTCTAGGCTTAGATCAGCCAATAAAACAATCTGCATTGTACAGATGGCATTTTAAAATTTCACTAAAAAATTGACTGTAGCAAAATATTTAAATTTCAACAGGTATGTGTTTGAAAGCAGTGCCAAACCAGTATTATAATAGGCAGCAGAAAAAGTGTAATATATTTTATTTAAATTAAAACACAATAATTGTTTACATATGTGTTTGAATGCATGTATAATATAAAGTATTAAAAAAGGAATTGAAATAATATTCTATAAAACTGTTATTAATTGCAATGAATTCACCAAGATCACCACAAACTTCTCTGAGTTCTGAATTAAAGAAGATAATAAATGACAGAAATGTTTTAAGTATGAGAAGTCGTATGAGAGGTATGAAATAAACATAGTTAATACGTATTAATCAATGTTGTTTACATATTTTTAATATATGAAACATTATATTTGCAGTTCTCAACAGTTTGAATGAGAGTAATCAAAAACAGTTTGAAGAAAGAGAGAAAAACTTAAGATCTCAGGCTGTTCAAGAAATTTTAACAACAGAACTTACTTATTTACGTCAGTTGGAGATCTTAATGGAGGTATTTTCTATTTACATCTAATAATACTTGAAATATTACATTGATGATATGAAATATGTATGTTTTTCAGTACTTTATACAACCAATGTTTGAAAAAAAATTATTAGACCACAGTTTACTTTCAACGCTATCTGAGAATATAAAAACATTGTACAATGTTAGTGGAGAGTTAATAAAGGAACTGAAGGAAGATCCACAGAATATTGCTGGTGCATTTCATAAATTGGCTCCATTTTTTAAACTGTATTCTGTCTATGCTTACGATTACGAACAAATTTTATACTTGCTGCAGGTACTGACTATAATTTATTAGGTATAGGATGGCCATATGTAACAAAATTTCTTTTGCAGATGAAACAAGAAAATGATCTCACACTTAAAAATTTTATTAACAGGCAAGAAACAAGACCAGAAGTTGGTAGAAAATTACCTTCGTTATTAATTACACCGATACAAAGAATACCTAGATATAAATTACTCTTGCAAGAAGTTTTACAACATACACCTAATAGGCACAAAGAATATAACCTTTTACAAGGTATGAAATCAAATTTAATACCACATCAAATGATTTAAAATTTTATAGAACAACATTAATTTAGTCTTTTATTTCTAAAGTTTGTCTAGTTGAAGTTGAGAAAGCTGCAAGGCATATGAACACTTTAATTGAACAGCATGAAGAAACACAAAAATTATTGAAACTTCAAAAATGTATTGTAAACCAAATTAACTTGGTTAAACCTGGTAGAAAATTAATTAAACAAGGACCATTAATGAGAGTTTCAAGACGCGGGAATTCAGCATATCGAAGATATTTTGTTCTCTTCGATGATATTTTATTGTATTGTAAGGGTGATCCACAAAACTCACTAACCGTATGTTGTGTTTTACCATTAAATAAATGCAAGATTGAATCTGTTTTGAGTGGAGGATTATTTCGTGTTACTTGTTTAAATGAAACACTTTTACTTTATTCCGAAAAAGAGGATAGTAGTTTATGGATATTGGCAATACAAAGTTCCATAAAAAAGGTATTTTTATAAAACAATAGTTCTACTGGAATATCCTTCATGCAAAAATTAGTATGTATTGTTTTATTGTTCTAGTACATTGAATGCAGACAGACTTTGAGAAAAGACAGTAGTTCAAGAAAACCATTGAGACACAATAATCTTAATTTATTTCCATCTGACAATATCCCAATAATTTCTGGCAAAAGAAAAAGATTAGACGAAGAAACAGAGGTTTATATCACAAATATTATTGATTATTATTAGATTTTACATTTTATAATATATTGCATGTTCAACAGGTGAATTTGAATGCATCTAAAATTCTGTACTTAAAGAAGGATAATGAAGCAGATGCAGATATACAGTCAGAAAATAGATGTTTGCTGTTATTAAAAAGATTCAAAAAATTGAAAAATGACAATAGTTTCAAGCAGAACAGTTATTGCTTTCAAAACATCAATTGTGTAAGTTGAGTATTAATTTATATGAGTAAAAAAGATGAATATTATATTTACTTACAAATTTTTTACAGAATATTGCGGATAAAGAAAATGTGCCTTACATACAGGAAAACTATAATACGTCATATATACCTCACATTCCTTCTTTTACTAAACAAGATACTAATGAAGAATCTTCAACAACATTAAAATCTATTAGCAATTTCTTCTCCTATATTGGATCATCAGTAATTGAATTTTTTAAGTTTAGATGATACAATTTACTATGTGTGTATATTATTAAAAATCTTTAATCCATAGATCCGTAGTTTTACTTCTGGTTTTATTGTGAGGAAGCTGTAGTACAAGCCGTTTTCAACTCTAGTGGGTCAAGATCTACTTTTGGAAACGGTAATTTTTCATGACCCACTTACATTACAGCATCAGATGATCTTGGTGAAAAAATCATCTAGTCCATGCAAGGTAAAAATTTACTATGTAAATATTTGGATACCTACTTTTATGATGGAACACTTATAATTTTCACAGAGAAAGGTTCTGTTAAATAGGTTAATATAAATTTTGTCAAGAAGCATTGCATTTAGTTTGAAGAAACTTTATTGTACAAATTGTAAAGATCAGACAAGCTTATTATCATTGAATACATAATCAATAAACTCCTATTAAATGCTAGTGAACATGTATTATTTTATAAACAATGGCAGTTTTATGAGAAACATGTTTCTTTTGTCTCTTGACAAAGTATTATACTCATTATATCATTTTGTGTCTGTCACAGTTCAGAGTGTCAAAATTATTTGGCTTTATTTTATTTTTCTTATAGACTACCACATAGTCTTGGCATCTTATAACTAACATTATAATTTAAAGCATTATAAACCTATAATGCAAAACAATTTTTCTTTGATAATGTATTCTGTACCACATATTATATTACACTGCAAATATTGCATATATTTACAAGTACATTTTGTAGAACTAAAAAATATTTTCGGAATACATTGTTTCAGTCACATAATTTTATTGATTCATATTGATTTTATACGCAAACTCTTTTGCGTAAACATGATCACTATTGTCAAATTCGATAACAATATTGAACACTAGAGTAAAAACACATTGGTATATTTTATTCTTCATTAAAAAATTAGCAACAATTTTTGGTAATACTGTCTCTAATCAGACTTGTAATTGATTTCATTGTTTACTTCAGTAATTAATCAATGGAATATCTTTTCAGTCTGCATATAAATTTTGGTGGAAAATTGACTAGTGTATAAAAAGCTTATTAAGTGCTTATTTAAAGTATCATTAAAAATCTTCAGACTATATTATTGATATAATAATGTTACACGTTCTGTACAACGAATAAGATAAAATTCCTTTTAAACGCGAACACTTTCGTAATATTATCAACGAATCAATGAGTTTCTGTTTCGAAACTTGACAATTCCTATATTCTTGTTCTAAAGAAAATGCAATTTTTCCTCTTCCTTGGCATTGCAGTCTTTTCAAGAAACTTTATAAGTTTTCTTTTAGTCTTAATGTCTTTTATAATAATCTCTTCGTAACTTAATGTTACTTCATAACAAGTACAGTCAAGAAGAAAACAAATTAAAGTTACCATTGATTTTATGTAATATTTTTAACATACTTTTGTGTAAAAAAATTCAGGTGTTTCAATCACATATCACATAACGGATATAATATTTATGTAACTATCAATCGATTGACATTCTCTTAACTTTGGCAGATATAGATCGCAGTCTTTTAAACAAATATCTCTCCGCAAGCAAACAGGAACAAATTAATCCTAAGACCTATAAGATCTTCAATAATTCGGAAAGGAATATTTCCTTTAATTATTTTCCTATACAATGCGCTTGACTCACACAAACATATAAATCCAACGATCAATCGTTGTCACATTTGTGTCTCTCGTTCATTTTGCCACGACCAAAAGGACGGTTCGTTTTAAATAAATACACTCTACTTTAATGAATCTGGCAGTTGATCAAATGCCTTTCAAGGAAGTGGCAAAACTTTCCCAGAACGTTCGAATTAAATCAGTCACAATTTACCTTTGAAAATTCTCACCATTGTATAAAAGGAAAAGAAAAGAAGAAAACAATTCACTATAAAAGTTGGACATGTTAATTACGGAGCACTTTATCGTCCCGTTTCTTCGTTCACTTATTTCCATGCGACGAACAAATTACCTCGCCGAGATAGTTTCTGGCCACGAACTTTCAAGTTCTTTGATCGATATCCGTTCGATCGTTCGTTTGTTTGCTGCGCCGATTGTGAACGATGAAAAACATCCGGAGTAGCAAGGTGCCGTTAAAAAAACGACTGGATTCAATCGCCGACTGTGTCGTGCTCTTCTTCGGTTTCCGTTTCCTCTCCATCCGCATCGCTTTCGACGCTCTGTACCAGCCTTGCGTATCTTCAAAAAATTGCCAAATTACATCGTTTTCAATAAATTCTAAGGTTAGTTTTATTTTTTGGAAATTTGGACTATTTATACTATTTACGGTATTTCATTTCATAAGATATTTTATAGAATTTTAAGGTTGCGGAGGTATGTATGAAGTCCCAAAGTTTGGAAAATTTGGAGCCTACGTTCATCGCCACTAGGCGACGCATAAGACCGACTTGACTTTCTCGCAAGTGCTCAAGGAGCCCTCCGATTCATATATATAGATCCTGTCCACCTCTTGCATCTAAGGCAAGGGCTTGCTAGGATGCGTTATTGAGGAGTCCACTAGCAGGTCTTGGGACCAAAATGGATGGATGGTGTGCTTGGTTGCAACTCCTCTCCCACTTTCACTCTTTCCCCTAGTCTCTTCCACTAGCCTACCCAAAATCGCCCAAATGCATATTTATTACATAGTTAAAATATGTATTTATTACTTCAATATACCCCCAGGGGGG